ACTTCATTTACCTCAATTATTCACCCTAGGCCACAAATGCCTTCATTTACCCAGGCCTTCCTTACCCATTCCTGCCACCCCAAACAGATCAGTCGTTCACTTATCCTCCTTTCTCTCCAGCTCTCCAACCAAACCCCAAATTCTGTCACAGGAGCTAACCTTAGCCTGGTATGAGAAGATCACAAGAATACGGACAACTTTGATCTAATTAGGATTTGATTCAAGAACTTGCTGTGAACTGTGAGTTTAAGGAGGTACCTGTTTTCCTAAAGAGGTTTTGATGTGAGGGGATTTCAGCATGACACAGGAAGAGAAGTAAGAAAGTTTAAGCATCTGAGGCGTCACAGCATAAATCTCAGAGTGGCGTGATAAATGTGCCAGGCGGGTCCAGAACATCCCACTTTTGCGCATATGGCAGACATGACAAGTGGAAGCCAGATCTGTCTCCTACCTGCTGGATTTGCCCACCACCCTTTCAGAGTTTTCGAGTGTAAACCCTGAACTGAGCAAGTGAGAGTGGCATTGAGAGGTGGTAGGCAAGAGGAAGCCCATTTTCTTCTCCTGCTGGAAAGACTGTTCTAGGCTTGGCACTCACCTCAGGGTCAGACTCCCTGCTGTTCCTGGAAGAACATTTTCTCTTCCCTCAAACGAGTTAACTCAGGGTGGGTGGTAAAAAGCAATTATTCCAATGATGGCATTGATGCTGCTCAAAACACTTCAGGAACTTTGGCAACTGCATTCAGCCCCAGTTTATAAAACACAAATGTTCTCTCTTTGTCTTTGCCCACCAGCTCACAGGCTAATTTAGATGTTACCTGTTGTTTTGGGCCAGCTTTATTAACATGACCACCCATCACCACTCACCACTCACCACCAAGTATCCAAAATACTTCTGGATCTTTTTTCCACAACACCCGTACTCAAATAATCAAGCTTTGCCCCCAGGGACCCCCTTCCTAAAGCACATGTGCAGTCAGATCCCCACCCTGGAATTTATTCTGCTGCTACCGTCTGAATGTGTCTCCTAAAATTCAGACATTAGAAATTGAATCCTCAGCACCACAGTGTTAGGTCATGAGGTTCCTACACTAACAAATGAATTCACGGCAACCTAAAAAGGGTTTGCTCGCTCTCTTCTGCTCCTCTGCTATGTAAAGAGGTAGAGACTCTCCCTTCCTGAGGGCACCACATTCATCCTAGAAGATGACAGGGCCATCACAGACACCAAGCCCCACATCACCTTGATCTTCTCGCACTTTGCAGGCTCCAGAACTGTGAGAAATACGTTCCTGTTCTTTATAAATTAGACAATCTCGAGCATCCTGTTCTAGCAGCACAAAACCAAGTGAAGACTCCTGTTTTCATCTCTTCCCATCTGTCATCACTTTGCCTTTTTCCCCACTGGGCTTCTCTTCTCTTAGGCAAACTGCAAGGTGGAATAAAATCTTTCGGCTCCTGCTCAATCCTTCCCACTTCCACTAATGGCCCCTAAGCTCTTTTCTTTTTTGAGTAATTTTCTTTAATATAAGAAAACAAACCACTCAACAAACAAAAACACCTTTTACAGATTATAAAAGTCTTATAAAAGTATTTTTACCAGTATAGATGGCTTCATTTCCCTGACGCCTCTACTTAAATGCCCCAAACACAAGGCTGGTTTTGTAATCAAGCCTTTCAGTCTTCTGCTTGGATTCCTTTATTCCTGAGTGTGACAAGAAATCTGTTCTCTTCAGGGTAGAAACAGAGATAATCCACGAAGGAACTAAGAAGGTTTCAAATGAGCAGCCCAGTGTTTTTCAACCTTTTTTTTTAATCTCACAGCACACTTGAACCTATAGTTAAATTTCCACAGCACACTTAATTATGTTGATCAAAAACAAACAAAAAGAGTAGAAAAAAGAAGATATTTACTGTTCTTTGAACTTATTTTGAAAATAATTTAATTTTTTTTTTTTTTTTTATAGTTGGGGATTCAGCGAGGGTACAAGAAACCAGGTTACACCGATTGCATTTGTTAGGTAAAGTCCCTCTTACAATCATGTCTTGCCCCCAAAAGGTGTGGCACACCCCTCTCCCTCCTTTCCTCTCTCTGCTATTTCCCTCCCCACTCCTCCCTCCTTCCTCTCTCTGCTCTCCCCTTACCCTACCCCCACTGTGTCATTAATTGTCCTCATATCAAAATTGAATACATAGGATTCATATTTCTCTATTCTTCTTGTGCTTTACTAAGAATAACGTGTTCCACTTCCATCCATGTTAATACAAAGGCTGTAAAGTCTCCATTTTTTTAATGGCTGAGTAGTATTCCACGGTGTACATATACCACAACTTGTTAATCCATTCCTGGGTTGGTGGGCATTTAGGCTGTTTCCACATTTTGGCGATTGTAAATTGAGCTGCAATAAACAGTCTAGTGCAAGTGTCCTTATGATAAAACCATTTTTACTGGTAGATGTCCAGTAATGGGATTGTAGGATCCAATGGGAGGTCTAGTTTGAGTTCTTTGAGGGTTAACTAATGATCTTTAAACACTTTGGTGACACACCTAAGATCTTCTCAGCGCACACCAGTATGCCATGGTACACAGGTTGAAAATCACTGGACTAGGCCAACGAAAGAGCTCTATGCTTTTTCCATGTCACTTTTGCTCCAGAGCCAGGTGGGTTCTCCACATTATCGGGTCCCCAGTTTTTCTTATGATTTCCTAATACTATTTCTTATTTCTTATAATTACATTTCTTATAATTTCCTAATACTAGCTTTAAATAAAAATCTGCTGATTGCTAAAACAGAATGTTTACCAATTGGCAGGATCACCGGAGTAGACCTACAGTACCTCCTAGGGGCTTGGCACTCTATATTTTATTATATTTATATTACGATATGAATTTTCTGATGTGTTTGCTTATACGAGGAAATACACTATGTCAAATTCGATGTGTATGCTTATGCAGAGCACACACATTCATGGATATAAGCAAATGTACGTTACCTCACCCTCACACTACATTTAGAGGCATTCGCTTTCCAAAGACACCAAAGAAATGACAGCACCTTACAAGGGCATCATATACTAAAATGTTCTGGCCCCTCCCACAAGTTCCCAGGATCCGCATATTAATTTTATTTAAAAAATTGTCAATTTCAAGTAAACAGTCATAAATAAGCAAACTCTCTTAAAAGCAGAGATGCTAAGTCACAAGTAGAAAGAGAAACAGATAAAGTAGCAACACATTATCTGACTCTAAAAGACACTCGTGGCAGTGCCAAATTGTAGCTTTCTCAGTAAGTCACACTGCACAAAAAAAGTAGATCAATCACTGTGAAAATGCAAGTGAGCTGGTAATAATAGCCTACTTACAGCTGCCATGAAATAGTCATTAAGTGATATGCAGCGTAAATCTCACAAAGTTTTGTAAATTACGGTGGTTCTTAGAGGCCAAATAAAGATGAAGTGCACTAAGTATGGCTGCCTTTCTCCTTTCTGCTTGGCATGGCTTTTGAAAATGTTTTAGCTCACACTCATGGCACCATATGCTTCCTGGAGCATTCCAGGAACAATGAAAAGTTCAGAACTCTATTCAAGACCCCTGTTCTACATTTTGAAGATGAGCGTTTTTAATCAGCTCTTTCTGGGGCTTCTAAGCACAGTCTTGCTCTGATTTGGCTCTTACCAGATCCAGACAGGTCTCCAGTCAAGCCTGCTCCCATTTCCAAAGCTCGGGTGTGAAGCAGGTGCTAGGGACAGGCACTGCTGAGGGAGCTGAGCTTCCTGCTCGCGATCCCCGCCTGCCTCCCCCAACTCTAGAGACCAGGCATGAAACTGCACCACCTGCTTCTCTCTGTAGACCTGCACATTAGCAGAACTTGGATCCAAGGATTCTCAGTCAATGCTGCTTTCCTTCCTTTTTGGAGGCTGGTGGTAGTAATCTCCAGTTGGTCTTTTTTCTTAACTGCTTTTCCCCTCTGCTATTTTAACCGAACTCTTATTGCTCCAAATTAAATCCATTTTTTCTAGTCTTGTCATTGCTAACTAATGAGAACAATTCCTCTCTTTGCACTTGGTGGCTGCACTTGAGGTACTTACGGATGAGAATCATGTCTTTCTTTAGCCTACTTTCTTAACTGCAGACTGCACAGGTGATAAAATGGGCTAATTGTTGCTATAAAAATATTTTCTATCCTCCTAACGAAGTAATTTTTTCCTTCCAAATCATTTTAATTTCTTAGACTTGCACTGTGTTCTTATGATCTGCAGGGACTGAGGGTATAGTCTCTACTGGGCTCCTACGTACAAGGCCTAAAGCAAAATGTTGGATACACAACAAGCATGAATAACTCCAGTCGTGGTCACTGTGCTTGCCTTTCTGCCCTGCCCATTCCAACATTGTGACCTCAGTTTTTTATCACATGTTCCTTACGTCTCTATAGTCATGCTTGCAGCCAAGGACCAGGGTCATCAAAATGCAGCCTGAAGCCTATTTTATAAAATAAATCTTTAAATACAGTCACATGCATTAAAAAAATATATTGTCAATGGCTACTTTCACATTACAAAAGCAGAAATGAGTCCCTCTGACTGAGACTGTACAACCTGCAAAGTCCAGCATATTTACTAATTATCCCTTTACAGACAGTTTGCCAAATCCCAGCCTAGGAGATCCTCGACTTTCCACTTGGCTCTGCCACTTACACCAGGTAAACCTTATTCACACCAAAGCAGTCTGCTAAATGGTTTTCTATCAGCCAAGCCACACGATTGGGAAGGGAATCTGGAAGGAAAGAATTTCTTTTTCTCTTTATACACATGGGGCAGAGGGCAGTCTTTAATTTCCCCACCTTGAGGCACTCTGCGAGATGATGGTTTACATCTGAAAGCCGTTTTTATAAGCGTGTGCACTTTTGTCATGTCTCTCTAGAACATTCTGCTGCATTTATCTCACGCACCAACGCAGACCACCAAGAAGACAAAAGAACCCAGGCTGAGGGCCCGTACTCACTATGTGGAGCTGGAGGAAGTCGCCGAGTCCTGGAGCACTGTCAATGCGGACCAAGATGCCATCCTTCACAGTGGTGCTGAAGCCCACAGCGAGGCGGTCGGAGCGCGTGCTGGGCCTGTCATTGGCCGGCCAGGTGTACAGGATGAGGCCACCGCTTTTCCCAAAGATGTATGTGGCGCCAGCTGCAGAAGCAAGGAGAGAGAGAGACATCAGGCCACTGCACTGTGTACAGTCAGCTGGAGGCGCACTGCTGAGACTGTACAGCACAGCTGCGGGAGTGAGCGTCCCCCATGTGACAATGTTTGGTTACTGAGAAGGACAGCATCGCCAGCCTCTGAAGGCAGTTAGCACCCCACATTAAAGATGCAGGCAAAAGGAACGCATGAAGTAGATATTAGTGAGGGTTGATCTATTTCTGTTCTTGCTGTAATGGTCAAGAGCAAACAGCATGCTGTGTTCGAGAACTCTGGTCCGTTGTGACAAACACCTATTTGGTCTTCCTTAACAGCAGGGTTAATTTTTCCATATCAGCTACGACAGGTGCAAGAGAGATAACCAGTCCTGTATGTCTCAGCTATCGGAATATTCGGGTCATTGGAGGCGGGAGCAGTGTCCGGGATGCCTGACAAAGTGAAGGTCGCAGTGAACCAAGTCCAGCGACATCGTTTCTCTCATGCCTGCACCTGCTCCTACCCCCATGGAAAAGAAAAAGCAGCAGCCTGAGAAAACCAGGTTACGTCATAAAAGCATTTGCCCATTTTACTACTGAGTTGTTATACATCAGGGACCCTAAATCATTCCCAGAAGTCTTTGAAAAATGATCTTTTTTTCCCTCCCTGATGGTAATACTTATCTAGTATTAAATAGCAGTTTCCATTTCCCTTTCCAAACGAAATCTCAAGAAGAGGAAGATATAGGCGACAGAAAATAAAAAAAGAAAAATCCCAGGATAATGAATTTTGAACGTGACAAGTGGTATTGCCAGGGACTTGGCCAACATCTCTGCTATTGGGTTTTTCTGCTATCGGTATGAACTCAATGGTTACCACGAACATGTTAATTTCAAGCTACTTCGCAAACAAGAAGAAAGATAAAGAAAACATTTGCACTTCAGAAATTCTTAAAAGCGTATTTAAGAATTGGGGGAAATCACGTCGATTTGGTAGAATAAACAGCACGTGGTAGACGCTATGGTTTTATGTATGTTACTCCCAGCGAGGACTTCCATATGTTACTCATCTCAAAATTCAGAGAACACTTGGCACCAGATTTCCTTGTGTGCTTTCCAGTGGACATGTTCCAACCGTTGAAACTATTTTAAGGCAACATTACACAACCATTCAGATATCTTTAGCGTTTACTAAAAATCTCAAGCGCTGGTCCCCATGTGTTCCCTGAGCTAGTTTACAGAGAATATTGGGTGGAATTATGTTGACTGAAGAAAAATGAGTTATTCATCTTGCTTAGAAATAATAAACTCCTAGAAGGCTAGAATGAGGAGTGTATGCCATATGTCATCTTTTCTAAAGCCACATAAATTTGGTAGCATATTCTATCTAATTTGTCCTCTTTGAAAGGTCACTATTCTAGTTACGCCCATTTGCTCATGGCTTCTCTTTTGTGATTTTGCTCAATCCCCTGGAAAGTCCTCTACACCTACCAAGAGAATTCGGGATTACAGAATGCAAAGTTTATGATGAATGCTATATGCAAAATCGTGTTTACTCCTCACTATTCATAACCACCCTCAAAGCTTCTTAAAATTAGAAATGTGGATATAGTGATTTACCCTTGATATCTCTCCATCTGTGAAGAATTTAAATAATTCCTCCACAGATGATTACAAATGTCATCACCGCTCCCTTTATTCTTTGTATGGAAAAGTGAAGGTTACTCCGTGATTAATGTATAGAATCACCACAGACTCACATCAGCCGGTGACATTTTGTGGCAATTTATAAAATCTGACACCATTCTATCCTAAATATACAGTGGGTTCTCATATAGAGACAAATTCATATCTGTCAGGAAATAATTTTGTCACTACAAAAGTACCAAGTCAAAAGCCGGTCGCCACGTATGTGTGGCGATTTATAGTTTGCAAAGTATTTTCAACATTAGCTGAATCTTCGCAATGAGTAGGGGATAGTTTACTTGATCTATTTTACAGATTTGGTAACAGGGGCTCAAACATCTGACGTAAGGGTGACCATCTTCAAGGGTTTAGCCTGAGTCTATGTCCCAAAGCCTCTTTTCACCCCATACCCATGTAATTATACCATAGGCTAGATTGTTAAATGGGACAAATGAGGTACATTAGTTTATTTCACATCTTCTCCTAATACCAAAGCAAAATGTAAACAAAGCCGTAGCCTCCTAGCTGGCATGTTTTCAAAAGCCTGTGTGGTCATCTCACCATACAAGTAATTCTATAAACCGCCTATTCCACGTATATTTCTCATCCACTGCCCTGTCCAATAATTATCAGTGCTCCAATACAAAGGGGGAGAGCAAGTTAACAGAAAAATAGACAGCTTCTTATATACAGTAGTTAGATGGTCATGGTGGCTTTAATGTTTAGATAAACAAAGAATAAAATCTCGCCATAACAAAATGGTGTCAAAAGATACAAATTTGTTTTTAAAATTATTTTTACTGCTTTCGTTGTTCTGAATTTATAATCTCACTATGTCAGTCAATTCTAACTTTTTAGGTAAAAGGGGCATAAAACATTCAAAGTACTTAGAATATTGTTTATTCTTACATAAAACAAATTTAAAGTATCTTTCTGATAAAGAATTTGCTGGTAAGAGTATGAAGACCCCAAATGCTCTCATAGTCCAATGCTCTGATGCTTTTTTTTTTTTGAGACAGAGCCTCAAGCTGTCCCCCTGGGTAGAGTGCCGTGGCATTACAGCTCACAGCAACCTCCAACTCCTGGGCTCAAGCGAGTCTCCTGCCTCCGCCTCCCAAGCAGCTGGGACCACAGGCGCCCGCCACAACGCCCGGCTATTTTTTGGTTGCAGCCGTCATTGTTGTTTTGGCGGGTCCGGGCTGGGGATTCGAACCCGCCACCTTAGGTGTATGTGGCTGGCGCCTTAGCCGGTTGAGCTATAGGCGCCGAGCCAATGCTCTGATGCTTTAGAGGAAATTAATTAATGATTATAATTTTCTATTCTGACCATGTTATTTTTTTCTCTTTACTTTTCATGCTGTGCCATCTTACATGGTTTTTAAAGGTAACTACATATTTTCTGTTGATTTTAATGGAAAATGCCTAGCACCCTAAGAACCTGGAATTATTTTGCTTCCTAGTTTCAAATTTTAAAAAACAGTCAATTTTGTTATTTTTAAATGTATATTACACATTTCTGGGAATATCCTTGAAACTAAAAAAAAACCTTTTACCCGCTGAGGATTTTTATTTCTGAGCCATGTCATGCCACCTCGCATGCTTTCTCTCCTGAGCCTGGAATTTTTGTTGGTTTCTCATTGTGTTCAGTCTACTGGGATTAAGATCACACTACTTATATTAACAATCAGAACCACGCAAATTTCTTCCTTGCTAGCAAAAACTGATCAGTTCAACTTAAAAAACATTGCCATGGTGGCACATTGGCCATTTAACATGCAGGGTTTATAAGTTTGCAAATGGCTAAAGTCCCTTTGCTGAGTTCCAGCCAAGACAGTATTATAGGAATGAAATTTCTATATAGTCACTGCTCCCAGAGTTTAAATAGATACACCCCAACTTCAAATAGTCAAGAAGCATGATGATGTTTAAACTCACAGTCTACATTAGGCTTCTTATTTGCATAACTGGCTGGCCACTTACCGTGATGCAGTGATGGTAATATCGATAGACATTACTGTTACGGTGTTGTTTCTATTTCTAGTCCCATATCCAGATAGCACCTTACTTTGGAGGGGAGATTACCAACAGGAATAGAATGATGGTCTTGTTTATGCACAAAGCTTGTTCTTGCAAATATGCTTGGTTGCAACTTCTAATGGGAAAGTTGTCACAAAATTTTGGAAGAAGTAAGGGGAAACAAATAACCGTGCTATTTACAAATCTCATACTAAAAATTGAGATGGCTTATTACTATGTTTCCTTATGTACACTTTTCCTTCCCAAAGTTGGAGTAAATGAGAAATAATTTCTGGATCCCCTAGTGCTGACAAACACATCATGGCCATCTCTAAAACTTAGGGGTAATGTCATTTTCAGAAAAACAGTAGCTTAGAAACAGGTTGTGGAGGGAAAAAAAAAAACACAACGTAAAAGAAGGTTAATTTTAAATCAAATTCCTGGACACTTCCACTAAGGAAAAAGAGTTTGATTCATGGTATAATATGCAATGTTTTTGACATTAAATTTGATTTAAAAATTAAGCTTCTGGTGACAAACCCCAATTCCCTCTGGGTTAAAGAAGGGAATTTTCTTTTCCTTTTGGGAAACTGACTTCTTTTACAAATTCTTTGGTACTGCTGAACAACACTAACTCTAATACTAATACTAATACTCATACCAGGTGTATGTAAAAACATTTATCATATAGTATGCAGTGTAATGTTTCAAATCATTATCCTTTCACTTGAATTACTGTTTCTATAGTAGTTTGCTAGTGCTACATAACAGGATAGCAGAGTCTGCGTGGCTTAAACAATGAAAATTTATTTCCTCACTATTCTGAAGGCTAGAATTTTCAGATCAGTGTCCACAAAATTGGTTCTCTTCTTGGCTTATAGACAGTCAACTTCTCCCTGTCTCCAGTGGTCCTCTCTCTGAACCTATCTATATTCTGATTTCCTCTTCTTATAAGTAGACCAGTCATATTAGATTAGAGCCTACCCTAAAAATTCATTAACTTGACTGCCTCTTTAAAGACTCCAAATACAGTCACATTCTGAGATGCTGGGGGTTATGACTTTATAAATTTGGGAATGGATAGCATTCAGCCTATGACAGTTACTATCTCAGTTTTAAAGATGAAAGAAGCTATAAAATAAGACAAAATAACTTTTTACCAAATATCCAACAGAATTAGGAATTTGATACAGATTTGTCTAATTCAACAACCTATATGTTTTTTCATCATGCCAAACCACATTCCTAATATTCTCACTTTTTACATTGATCTTTGCACCTGAGAAGGAGATGAGAACGATAATGGAAAGA